AAGTGGGATCTTTATTAGTTATTGCTTAGACCAGTGGTTCCCAAACTTTTCCTAGTCGCGGCGTCCTTTTTCAATTAATTTTTTCCATGGCGCCCTACCCTAAGTATGATTATTCGTAAGTAAAAGATAAAAATAAATAAAACTCGTGTATCTTCATTATTATTTTACTTTATTAACATTAACTTAATATTTAATAATTAATGTGATGGATGAGCCTGCAAATCACTGTACGTTTTCTCAAATTGAAGCTTTTGCAATATTTCGTATCGAGATTACACACTGCACTGCCATGGTTCGAATCCCACTAGGGGTGCTGATAAGACCTAGGCGAGGTCAAATCTTTATTCATTAGACAATTGCTGTTTAATGGGGCTCATTTGGCTGTCTCCACTGACTTGTAAACATACTAGCAGTCGCCATAGCTCGGTTTTTCATAAATTATTTTGATAATTCTTCACTAATGGATAACTATTGTTATGGAGCCTTCTTCCGTAATTTTTTATTATACTCTTTCTAACTTGGTGCATATTTAGTTATTTTTGCAATCTTGTTTACTCGTCTTTTCTATTCTTTTCTAGATGCCAACAGAATTTCAAGCCCTGTAGTCGATTGCAACCTTTCATCTACAAGTTTTGGCTTGGATAATAATATGCTGCAGAAAATAGATCAACTAAAGACGATTAAGTCTACTTATGAGGATAAAATACGGACTCAGGATCGTCTTATTTCTGTGATTGCTTTGCCTCTTATCTCTTATGAATAGATTTTTTTATTTTCTTTGGAATCCTCATTCTTATTTTATTTTGAAAATACATTTAAGCTTTAGTCTGTAGTAAACTTTACGTGAATGCATAACAATGGTCTTTATTCTTATTATTTTATCTGTAATTCATCTTAATGAATTTATTTATATTCTCATTATCACCAAACTTCTCTTTAACGCAATCTTAGTTTCAGAGTATGAGCAAGTGAGCTATACCATAATCATCAAAATAGGTGGCTATTATTTTTCCCTATCTTAGCTCAGCTTAATTCGGTGCCGCAGCATTAGAGCAGCATATTTCTGTTGCAAATTTAAATGTATTTCATCTTAAATTTTTGGATTACATTCTGGTTAATTATTTTAATATCTTGATTTTACTTGGCCTCTTTCATTTTCAGCGTGTCATTTTCACCAATCTACAGCGCCGTGCATCTACGTTTTCGAGTGACACTCCGCGTCCTTTTTCATCGTTCACTCAGTCTGGGTCTTATCCCATGCTCTCAAATATTTATGTCCCTGAGGCAGCAGCCAAACTTGAACTTCATAGCTCGCTATCTCATACTACAGATGCTCACCTATTTTCTCAAGATCGATTAGATTCTGCGGGTCGCCTTGAAGCCGAGGCTAGTCCTGTTTGTGGGCATGAACACCAATTATCTTCAGCACAACCAAACGATTTCAAAACTTCTATCTTTATTCTACCCTCTTCGGTAGGCTCTTGGACAAAGGAAGAGCTTAGCTCCGTTAAATGTCCACAAGAAAGCCCAAATGATAGGTCAGCACAAGTCTGCGATTCCAACCCAACTCAGGTGACATACTCCAATTTTATTGCTAGGCTTCTTTTAGCGACCTAAAGCCTTATCCAATTTAGTGCTTTACTTATCGAGATTCATCATCTGTATGATCTAATACTTGAAGTCTTATATTTGTAAATGTATGGTTGCCTCCATATTATTGCCTAATTTCATTTGTCTCTTGATTCGCTTTTGTTTTAACTTGGCACTATTTTTACAGGTTGTAATTAGTTGTATTAATTGAAAGTATGAAGACCAAGATGGTGTGGCTTTTTTTGTGGCCGCAGTCTCCTTTCGTTGTATAGAAGTTGTTTGACCTTCTTTTCGCAACTTGGTTATATTAGTAGGAAGACTTATAGGAACGCACC